AGCCCGAGCTAGTAATATACGTGCATCCGCAGGATTTTCTTCCATGTTAACTGCCGCTTTCCAAAGTTTCACAGAATTAGGCACAAATTCCAAAGCTAGAATGATATTTTAATTAATTGTCAATATGTGACATAAAATTAGTAAATTTGGCATAAAAATATTAAACAACATACCTCTTCTGAGGACCTGTTTTTGACCCTTTGCATCTGTTTCTAATTTGACTGCATGTAACCAGATTTTAACTGACTGTGGAAGATGTTGAACAGCATTTGCCAATATAGTTCTTGCAGCTTCAGGATTATTCAAACGTGCAGCTTCTAACCAAACGTCTTCATTTTTTGGACATTCTTCACATCCCTTAGCAATAATAGTTCTCGCATCGGATAATTTACCAGCCACTTCTTCTAACCGAGCAGCAGCAATCCAGCCTAAAACAAACGAACAATAAATACATGAGTAAATGTTAAATTATGAAATAAAATTTTAAAAATAATTAATAAATTATATACCAGGGGCGTGTTTTGGATTTGTCGAAATCACGGAATTCAATAATAGGCGTGCTTTTTTTATATCACTATAAAATTGAAAAAGTGTGAAAAGGAAGGAAGTGTTGGAACTTGCCAGTCAATTGTCAAATACACTATTGGAATGGGTGTGGAAGAACAAGACAAAAAAGCCATATGGACGGAAGATGCAGAAAGCTGTATTTCACACGGGTCAATTGAAACGGCCAGAGTAATTTACGCTCAAGCTCTGAAAGCTTTCCCTGGTAAAAAATCTATATGGAGAAGAGCTGCATTCTTGGAAAAGTCACATGGTACAAGAGAATCACTGGAAGAATTATTGCAACGCGCTGTTAGATTTTGTCCTCAAGCCGAAGTCTTATGGCTTATGGGGGCCAAAGAAAAATGGTTAGCGGGTGATGTAGATGGCGCCCGATTTATTTTAACTGAAGCTTTCAAAGCAAATCCAAATAGCGAACAGATTTGGTTAGCTGCTGTAAAGCTCGAGGCTGAAAATGGTGAAGATGAACGTGCTCGTATGTTACTGCAAAAGGCAAGAGAACAAGCGGGCACAGAAAAGGTGTGGATGAAATCAATAGTTTTAGAACGCCAGCTCGGTAAAATCAATGAAGCATTAGCAATGTTGGATGAAGCATTGGCTCAATACCCAACTTTCGATAAATTATGGATGATTAAAGGACAAATAGAGGATGAAAGAGGTGAATTACCGACAGCACGATTAACTTATACTAAAGCCGTTAAAAATTGTCCAAAATCGATTCCATTATGGATCCTTGCATCTCGTTTAGAAGAAAAAGCTGGGCTGTTGATTAAAGCTAGAGCTACCCTTGAAAGGGGTCGTTTATTAAACCCGAAGACACCTGAATTATGGTATGTTTTGCAGAAAAATACATAGTATGGGTATTAAATGCTAAAAAATTCTAATTTATTCATTTATAGGTGTGAAGCAGTTCGAGTAGAATTGCGGGGTAATAACACTAGCATGGCTAAGGCTTTATTGGCAAAAGGTAAATTGAATTAAAATTTGTCTATTTTTTGTTATTGCAATTCATGTTAACATTTCAACCTTATAGCGTTACAGGAATGTCCAAGTTCTGGCCTATTATGGTCAGAAGCTATTTTCATGGAATCTCGCCCACAACGCAAGACTAAATCAGTGGACGCGCTCAAGAAATGCGACAACGACCCTATTGTCATTGCGACAGTAGCGCGCTTGTTCTGGGCCGAACGCAAAGTGGATAAAGCACGCACGTGGTTTGAAAAGGCTGTAAAAGTTGATCCAGATCGCGGAGATTCTTGGGCCTGGTATTATAAATTTGAATGTCAACATGGAACAGAGGTAATTACTTTTTTTTTTTAAAAAAAAAAAAAAACGGGCGCTTCTTTGATTATGAATACTTATTATTCGCATTCAAATTTTGTTTATTAAACCAGCAACAACAGCAAGACGTAATTTCTCGCTGCGTATCTGCTGAACCGCATCATGGTGAACAATGGCAAATTGTTGCAAAAGATATGAAAAACGTTGGCAAGAATATCGAAGAAATTCTTAAATTGGTAGCACAGGCTCTTTCGTGAGCTTAGGAATAATTTAGGTTTGGCTTAGGTTTTAAAACCTTTAAGTCAAAACTAAAAATCCCAGACCAGACTTTTATAAATAAGTTCCAAACCTAGTTTGGTTCAGAACCAAATTTTAAAATTTATTTTGTAAGACGTGTTTGTCACGTTACCGTATTTATAACTTTCTTGACTTGCTCGTGTTCATGAATGCTCATGCAATTTGTATCTTAGCATGTTATTAAAAATATATAATTGTACGTAAAATTTATTGATAAATCATTTTACCTAATGCTTTAAATCATTTTGTCATAATAAAAATGAGTTATGTCGCATCTTTTGGTTTGTTTTTTTTATATGTTTATATTCAAGGCCGATGATTTTCTGAGTTTCACAGAAATCACGGAACGCGTCAAGAATAGCACGGAATTGTTGCAAAAAGTAGAGAAATAGCACGAAAAATATCACATAAGGTAGGGAATTATAGGAAGCTTGTAAACGTAACTTTCGAATTGTACCGACGTAGAAAATAAACGAACACAAGCGTGGTCGAACTAAATTTTTATAAAATTGGATGTAGAATAACGCAGAATTCATAATTTATTGTATAACCGATGCAGAATTCATAAATTTTAGTCACGGATTTAGATTTTGGGCTTCTCAAACCTTATAGAGTTGGGATCCGTGAATATTCACGGGTAAAATGAAGAGAACTATATAAAAAACGCAAATAAAAGATTAAATAAAGTGATATTATTATATTTATATATTATTTATGTTGTATATGTTGTGCTTCAGAATAATGATTGCCTCGGATCACACACCTCAGATGCAGATCGCCAGGTGAGGTGCGTAACCAATCGATCGGTCAATAAGCACTAAAAAAAAAAATATGTATAAAAATCGAACGTGCTGAAAAACTTAGACGGGAAGAATATGCCGTGAAAATTTAGGCAAAAAAAAAAAAACTATATGTATAGAGAGAAGAAAAGTACTTATTAATTGTAAATAGAATGTGCCGTGAAAATTCAGACAAAGAAATTCAAAGAAAAGAACGGAGGTACTAAAAAAACTTAATGTAAAAGAATGCTACTGTTGGTGGTAAAATACCAGAGATTCAAGAATGCTATTGGAGGTAAGACAACGCCAAAGTGATTCAAAAATATAGAATGCTACTGGAGTTAAAAGTGATTTAAAAAATACTACTAGCGAGAAAAATGCCAAAGAAATCCAAGAATCTAAAAATTAAAAGAATTCAAGTAAAAGGTCTTTTATTTTACTCTTATTTTCGTTAGATTGCAGCTTAGATGATAATCGATAGGTTACGCACCTTACCTGACGATATGCACCTGAGGTACGTCAGCTGTGATCTGAGGCAAGCGTTAGTCTGAGGCACAACATATATAACCATAAAAACTAAACCACTTACAGTATTTCAATAGCATTTTCAATCTTTTTTTCCAATGTCTTTTTGACTGACAAATTATGATATTTTAATAGCAAATTTGAAACATCAAATGTGCCAACATCAGGAAATTTTAAAGCCAGATTATGATCAGTTGCAAACAGTTAATCAATTATAATCAATTGATTTTAAGCGATTATAACTGACTGTTGTTGATAATTAATTAATATGAATGATTACTTGGTCAACAACAATTTACCGAATTACAGTTAGCAATATAGGAAAGTGACATAGTGGACACAGCAATATTCTTGGTTTTGTGTTAAGCAAACTTGTTGTTAATAAAGCTTACAATATGTGAAACATCAAGAAGCGGGCGTATAAGAATATTAGATGGGTTTGTGCTTTGGGTCAAGTTTTTTTCTTCTTGATGGACTCTTTCACACGTTCAGCATCCAAACTAGAAGGTTTATTCTAGGAGCAAGTAGAGCAAAGTTTCTGAGCAAGATTATCAAATAGATACTTGGAAATTGGATTATACAACTATAAAACTTACAAAAACCTTACATATTCTCATTAACCCTCCACTTTTTTTTCGGGAAAAATTTTGTAAAAAAGTAGGCGATTTAGCTTACTCCTTATAAAAGATCGACATATTGTTTACTTACCAAATTGGTCAGCATTGTTTACTTTTTACTCTTCACAAACAAACACGTGGATTCAAATAGAATATAAACATTTGGATTATGTGCCTCAGAAGTGACAATCTGGACAAACAATGCTTTGAGACTAACTGTGTGAATTTTTGACTCCCCAAAGCATGCTTTTGTTTATATTTTTATAGGAGTTTAAGCAAAAGAAGCTGAAAAGCTTATAGTACTAAAGTATAGTGCTGATATCGAAAAGTTTTTTTTTTTTAAGTTTTCCACTTAAATATACTATTTAGTTAAATTAGAGTAGAGACTAGTTTAGATAGTAGTATGTAATTTTTACAAAGCCTGACACAGGCTTATAATTGTGACCATCTGATGTAGGTGAAATATCTCACATTTTTCTTTTTTCCACTTTTCTCTTACTCCTTTATTTTCTTGTTTGTATCTTTTATTATATCCCTCTATACCTCTGTGTTTTTTTATATAAGTTTTTCTTTTTCTTTTCACTTCTCTATAAGAAGATATTATCAGATTGGCGGTATTCTATTGTAGGGTGGTGGGTCAGACGAGCTCTCCAGTTAGAGTAATACCTTTTGGTTTTATCTTGCTGGTATGGCAGGTCGCCGATAAGCACTTTTTGAAGCAGCTGTAAGATATTAGGATCATAGCTTTAATGTTATAGTGATATACTTGTAATTTTTCACAAGATTGAGATTTTATTAAACATCGATTACTGGCGCGATCTTGCTTAAGTGAAAAAAAAAAAAAAAAGTATAATGAAGGTGTTTACATTTTTGAAAGCAAAAATCTAAAACATTTTTTGCAGGCTTTTTTCCTTTACCTCTTTTGATAACATTATCTAACTCATCAATGCTATTTAATTTTTTTAAAACTTCATAAGCTGTGTTCGCTGTTCATTAAACAAATATTCAAGCTTAGCCTGATTCCTAGCCAGCTATTCAAGTTTTGTACAATTATTTTGTACAATACTTAAAACCTTGGTTAAAATACATAGATTAACAGTAGTTGGAGCTATAAAATAAAAATATAAAGTAAAATAAAATTATAAATAAAAAAAAAATTATTTTACAAAATTAAAATTTCAGCTGTTTTATTAGAAGTATCCAGCGGTATAGATTCAATAATAACTCGAGGCTAATTACATTAAATTAAATAATTTAATAATTAATAGAATATTAATAAAAAATATGAATGAAATTAACTTACTTCTTTTAGAATAATAACTTAAGGCTAAATTATAAAAAATTATATGATTTAATAAGTGATAGAATACTAATAAAAAAAGAATGAAAATAACTTACTTCCTTTTAAAAGCTGATCTTTTTTTTTGTTTGGTATCACAGTTGTTGGTAAAGCTAATATGGACAATGTTAATGCGAACAAAGCTAATACTGACGAAGCTAATACAGACAAAGCTGATGTGGCCAAAGCTATTGCAGCCGAAGCTGATACAGACATAATTGAAGATGAAGCTACTGTAAACAATATTGAGATGAACAACAAAGCTGATGTAGACGAAGTTGGTTTGGATAAATTTTATATTTATCGAATTTTGATATTCTATGTTTTATTGAGTTCATTGGGTTTATTGGACTTTGCATCTTGTTCATCTAATAACTGTTTAGAGCATTGCAAAGTATTGAAGTTCAAGGCAGTGTTAGAATTTGTACTTTTTCCTTGTTTTTTGTATATAATATTCTAATCTCAAGCAATAAAGTTATAAAAATAAAGAAAAAATTTCTTTATTTATATAAAATTTATCTTTGAAAATAATA